CCCCCCTGCGCCTGCTCCTCGGACAGCTTCCCTCTCATCCAGGGGTTGGATGGATCTGGGCCCGGCTCTGCGTCGTTCACAAAGTCCGGCAGCACCTCCGGCTCCTCCTGCGCCTCCTCCTGCTCCTCCTCCTCCTCGCCCGGGTCGCCTCCCGCCCTCTGGGTCAGCTCCCTGTTGAGCTCCAGCTGCTGCTGCATGGCCCGGCGGGCCCCCAGGTCGTACTTGGCCACGATGGCCCTGGACTTGGCCCAGCGGCTGCTGTTCTGGTGCTTGAGGCTCATCCTCTCCTGCATGCGGCGGAGCTCCGCCCCCTGCAGCGCCTCCAGGGCGGCGCCCGGCTCCTCCCGCACCTGCCGCTCAAACTGCCGCAGCAGCTCCTTCCGCCGGGCCTTGTTGTGGACCCGGTGGTACTTCTTGCTCTTGATCTTGGCCTCCCTCCGGGCCTTGGCCTCGTGGTAGGACTGCAGGGCCCGGGCCTTCTGGAGCTCGGCCCGGCGGACCCGGGCCTCCTCCAGGCTCATGGCCCTCACCGAGGCCTCCTCGGCGGGGGTGAGCACGGGGTCGTGGAGGGGCTGCTTGTGGGCGGACAGCAGGGCAAACACCTCCCGCTCCAGGGGGGTCTGCGCCCCCCAGCCCACCACCACCCGCTCCATGGGCCGGGGCCCCGACGGCTCCCGGTCCAGCGGGAACACCAGCTGCTCGGCCCGCTGGTTCTGGCTGATGACGGCGTCCCAGCGGCTCACCCGGGCCGCCGTCTTCTGGAAGGCCAGGTCCCGCTGGATGCGCTCCCGCTGCTGGGAGCTCAGCGGGCACTCCTCCGTGCGCTGGCTCCGCTGCAGGCTCCGGAGCTGCTTCCGGCTCTGGGCCGGCACGGCGGGGGCTCCGCCGGCCGCTCCGACCAGGTCGGACAGCTCCACCCGCTCCGCCTCCCCCTCCGCGGTCACCGTGAACTCGGACATGAGCGCGGCCGCCTCCGACCGCTCTCCCAGGGTCTTCTTCCTCTTGCCTCCGAGGGCCATGATGGCCTCCAGCAGCCTCCGACGCTTCCGGTCATCCTCCCCGTCCTCCCCGTCCTCCTCCTCACTGCTCACGGCTCCGCCGGCTCCCTTCACCTCCTCTTCCTCCTCCTCTCCGCCAGCTCCATTCACCTCCTCCTCCTCCTCCTCTTCTCCACCAGCTCCCCGGACCTCCTCCTCCTCCATCAAGCGTTTCTTTTCCGCTTTGGAGCTCCTCTTGTTTGCCTTCTTCTTACTAACTTTCGCCATCCTGGAGTATCCGAAGATCAGCGGATAAACACACGTGTGCCGTAAACGCTGTCGCAAACTGCTGCCGTAAACTGAGTCAGAATGTCGCTCCTCGTTTAAGGCGGACGTAAAAGGGGAAAATGGTAGAAATTGAAAGAATTCTGTTTAAATAGGAAAAACTGAATTTTGTTGTTCATCCCTCACTAGTGAGAAACGTAAAACTGCTCTGAAAGTAAATATTTCTGATACATTCAAAATCACTTAAATTATTTTAAACGTTGATTTCTGGCTCCTTCAGTTGAAAAAAAAAAAACATCATCACTACAGCGTTTAAAGGAATATCACGTCTTAAATTTAGCCCACCCAAGAACCCCGCGTGATGCAGTTGTAGCAAACATGACATATCTTTGACATTTGATGGTGGTTCTTTATCCTTTAGGGGAGAAATGAGCTCATTCAGTCCCACAGTTCCTTTCTGTTCAGCTCTTTTCAGTAGGCTAACTGTGAGGACAGGAGGATGATCATCATTTAGTTATACTGCATATTTAGATGAGTATACTCATTTATTAATGGTAATACTGATTTCCATGTAGTAATGTATCTGATTTGAAGAATACTTTTAGGACATCTCTTCTAGTTTAAAAAAACAATGTCCAATTTTTCTGTTGAACTGTACGGAGCCTACGGAGCCCCCTAGGGGACATGGGGATTTTTTTTTCTTTTGCGTTACCTCGCAAAAGTTTTAGCGTTCCCTTGCAAAAGTAAATAATCTTAATTCACCATAAATACTGTATGCTTGGTAATATGTATATATCTTTAGCTTCATTTATGATAAGTATGTCAAATATGAATATGAAATATGAGACTATAGAACTTAATCAGGCTAAAGTTTACTTAATTCCGCTACGCCACTAGCTTAGCGGTGTCACTGTTATATGGAACGTACGGGGATTTATGGCAGGGCTAGGACTGACACCATCTTTAAAAATACAGAATCGTTCTTTATTTGGCAGTTAAATGATGCTGAAACATGAGAATTATGAAAGCCAGCAAAACTTTCGTGGCGGGACCTGTTACGGACTGGTTATGCCTTCAGGTCACGGTTATGTCAAGGTTGCTTTTACGTTCTCTCGCAAAAGTATTGCGAGGGAACGTAAAAGAAAAAAAATCCCCATGGCCCCTAGGGGGTTCCCTAGGGGGCTCCGTAGAAGTGTACAGGGCTTTGTTCAAATGCTTTTTAATCTCAGTTCTCCCCCTGCTGGCAGAAAGTCCAGGCCTTTTATTTCTGGTTCTCACAGCATCAGACAGACACTGAGAGTTTCACTGATAGTGTGGAGGAATACTCTTATCTATTTAATGATAACAGCAGAACTGGGTTTAATTAGTCAGTTATTGATGCTGTCACTCTTCTAAAACCTGAGTATTATGGGAAATAGTTGGTCTAAGTTTGGACTGGCGGATGGATACTCAGGTACTTTCTGTGCCACCTGTTCCATCAGAAACGGTTCACATCATGTTTCTGGTCAGTTTAGGACAGATTTGATTTAGTATCTGTTAAATAAAGTTAAATCCACTCCTGGTTGTGCTGAATCTGTAAGCTTTCCCCCCCCCCCAAAGCCAAACGGGACCTTTAGACCTCAGTCCCAGCGTGTAAAAGCAGGATGTTTACAGAGCGTGCTCATCACGTGTGCTTGTCACGTGACGGTCACGTGCTTTCCGCTTCGGTCCAACATGGCGGCGGCTCCGTCCGTCTTCCACAGAGTCCGAACCGGCTCCAAAATAGGAGCCCAGTACGACCAGGACGGGAACCTGATCCAGGTAGAGTGTCGGGGGCCGCGGGGGGGTCGCGGTGGACCCGGTGGAGCCGGTCGACCAGACGGGGGGGGGGGGGGGGGGGCGGAGGGACCGGGCTAACCAGCGGCTGCTGTTGGGCTCCAGGTGGAGAGCAGAGAGGATGAGGAGCAGGCCGTCAAGCTGGCGGAGACCCTGGAGCTGCTGCTGGCCGCCGGGTACTTCCGGGCCCGGATCAAGGGGCTGTCCCCGTTTGATAAGGCAAGCGCCGGCCCCCTGCCCCGGGAGGGGGCCCCCTGCCCCGGGAGGGGATGGAGGGCTAAGGCCTGACCAGCTGGGTTCTCATCAGTGGAGACGGTTTCTATGTAGAAAATAAGAGTGTTTTGGGGGCTAGATTGTGGTGGTTTCTGCTCCCAATCTGAGATTCAATGTGTCTGTTATTTTTTATAATGTATATAAACGGCTAATAAGAAAGATTAGGCCCATAAATGATCTGATTTGGGACCCTGCCCCCTCATTGCTCCCCTGCAGGTGGTGGGGGGGATGACCTGGTGCATCACCACCTGTAACATCGACATCGACGTGGACCTCCTTTTCCAGGAAAACTCAACCATTGGGCAGAAAATGTGAGTGAGCGGGTGGCAGCAGAGGGCCCCAGGGCGACTCAGGAGGAGGCCCTCTGGGTCCTCTGGAAGTTCAGGAGGGGCTCCAGAGCCAAAGCCCCTCCTCTAACGCAGCTGTGCTCCTGCAGAGCCCTGACAGAGAAGATAGTCTCTGTTCTCCCAAAGATGAAGTGTCCTCATCGCCTGGAGCCCCATCAAATCCAGGGGCTGGACTTTATCCACATTTTCCCCGTCATTCAGGTGGGTGCAGGAGCCAGATCAGGACTCTGGGTGGCTCACGGGGACCCGTCCAGAGTCCTGAGCCTGCTCTGTGTTTGGCTCAGACCGGGCAGCCAACAGTCCGGTCTCCATGTGTGCCGTGTCTCCCCTCAGTGGCTGGTGAAGCGAGCCATAGAGACCAGGGAGGAGATGGGAGACTATGTGAGGGCCTACTCCATCTCTCAGTTCCAGAAGACTCACAGCCTCCCTCAGGTGTGTGCGAAATTCGTGGGAATCAGGTGTTAGCCAGCAGGACAACTGAAAAGTTGTTATTCCTGACATGGACCAGGGTGTGTTATGATGTCACTGAGCGATGTGGATACAATAATTAATGGAAGAGAGAAGATTAAAATGTTATATCTTTTTTTTTATTTTCATGTGACACAATGTTCAAGCAGACTAAATCTGAATATTTCTTGGTATCCTGGCCTTCATATTGGTAAACCACCACACAGAAAACGGTCAGTCAGCAGATCTCCTGGAACGCTGTGGTCTCTGTGCTATAATATGATATTATTAAACACGTTTTCAGCTCCTCTACACGTCATGAACTATTTCATAGAAATGACGATAAACTGCAGGATAACATGGAGGACCATGGATTTCAAATGAAAGTGGACTCTGTCTCTGCCCCACGGAGCTGAGCACGACGGGCTGACAGCTTCTGATGTTCTCACAGCGGACAATGAAAACTTTAATGATCTCACATTGGAGAAATTAACTTACTCATGTTGGAGTAAAGGCGGCTGTTTTGTTGGAGATATTGGGTTAGATATCGGGACATTTCTGCTGGCCCTGATAGACGTCCTGAGTCCTTCAGGCTCTGATGTGCTTTTATCTATCTTCATTCAACAGCAGATCAGCTCATAGCTTATTCCAGATTTATTCCCTTTATTATTTTTGTATTGAAGGAGTCTCACAGGCCAGCCCACCAAAGGCATTGGAGCCACCCAGGCATAGGCCTGTGGCCATGGAGACAGTTTTCTCTGGCTAACTGTCAGCAGGAGGCTGCCTCTGTGTCAGCCAGCGTTCTGCTGGCTGCCTGTTGTGACCTCTGACCTCTGTGTGCTCAGGATGAACAGCTTCTGCAGAGGAACCAGAGCTCTGTGAGGGCCGTCCTGGACGTCCAGGTGAGACTCCACAGCCGGCTGTCATAGGGCGGCGCTCTGCTCAGTGTTTCTGAAGCCCTGCACGTTCACAGGAGGTGTACAAGCCCCAGAGGAGGTACAGGAGGCAGCGGGACGCCGGGACGCTGCTGGACGAGGAGTCCAGGGTCCACTCCACTCTGCTGGAATATGGCAGGTGAGCGCCTCCAGCTGCTGCCCAGCTGTGGGCGGGGGTGGGGGGGGTCATGGCTGCCTGTAGGCGGCCTCTCTCTTTGAAAACCCGCTTTGTGACTGACTGTATCTGTCAGTATCTGTCAGTATCTGTCAGTATCTGTCAGTA